ACGCTATCACATGCTCTCTCTACATCAGCAGAGACAGAAACTCCCTCTGACCCTCTCTATTCCTCTCCATCAGCTGATATCCTCATGTTGTCCAGGATCAACATTGGATCTGACCAATCACAGCGTTGTGACATCATAGCCGTCCACTCAGGGAAACAGGTCAGGATGTGGTTAGGGCTGTGTGATGTGATGGTGTTTCCATCACTACAGTGTGATTGGTCACTTGCGATGTTGATCCAGGAACATCAGCACGACGACATCAGATTGAGCCTCCACCAACACAGTCAAAGCAAAGTACAAGTAAGAATAGTAAAAAATTAAAATGAGGGTCTTTACTTTGCGGCCGATGGCTGAGCCAGAAGTGTTAACAACAGTCTGCTGTTCGTTAGCTCAGGTCGGCTTAAAGAGACTGAAAGCTTTAAACCAAAGAAAGAAAAAAGACTTCACAGAGACACCGGCTGCAACAAGGTAACTGCTACCTTTATGCTAGCAATGCTACAGTGATTCTCAGTCGCACAGCAAAGAGAATAAATCATCCCATAAATAATTAAGTGATTATCAGCTGTTACTATAAACAGTAAAACATGTCCATTTTCAAAATGCTTTGTGTATTTCTCCAGCTGTGAGACACACCAGAGAGGAAGGAGGGTCTGCAAACACTTACAAAGCTTGCTTTCGTGCAGCCGTCCGGGCACTGTATCTAGTGCTAACTGGAGTCTGCACAGCATCCTAACTCTAATTGTCCACGGATTATTGAAAGCACTTAAGGATTGCTCTCACAGTATGAGAGAATCCAGTTACCAGTCGATTTAAGCGTTAAAGGTTTGGCTAGTAGAAGGTGGATTTCCTGAAGGCGAGTAAAGAGGAAAATGTGCCTTTTCTGTAGAAAGAAAACAGCGTGAAAAATACTGGAGTTACTGAAATTTGCACACATGCAACTTTTACTTTTTAACAACCGCATGCAGTTCAGGAATAACTCGTTACAGCCTGCTGCCATCTGCATATCCCATTCCATAGATATTTGGTGCATGTGCACGACTGCTTCCTCTTCCTGGGGAAAATGAGGGGACCTTTACTGGCAACAGCTGCCCAGTGGATGCACAGTGGACGTGAATGCAAAGCACATGCAGACAACACAATCTGCTAACGTTACTTCTCAGCTACAAGAACATGTCAGCTAATACTGCTGGACAACATGAATCAGTCTTTATCCATTTCATCACACTTTACTTACTTTTTCTCAGGAGAGCCATGTTTTATATTTGCTTCCAGGGACATCTGCACACACACCAAAACAGAGAAGGAGAGAGCTATGAAGCCACTTCTGAGAAGCAAATAATGAAATATTTTGTAATATGACTGGTCCCTCAGGGAGGGGAGCCCTGAAATGTGTTTTCATTTCTAAAGATGACAGCTCTCATACGTTTGCAGTGCAGGGAGTGTTACTGTCAAACAACCTGCTGACTGCTGTTTAGAAGCAGCGTCTTCTACAGCTGTGAATAATCTGAGGTAGTCTGACAGAGTACAGCTTTAACCCCACGAACACAAAGCAGAGAGGCCGTCTGTGCAGAACAATCAGTCCTTACGTGTTCCT